CCAGGTCACCAGACCTACTGCCAGTGATGGGGGAACATGACCTGCCACTACCCCCCCACAGTTTCAGTGCTGTAGGGCTTGGACCCCATGGTCACCTACCCCATTGCTGGACCTAAGCTGCTAGGAGGGGGCACAGAGGGGGCCCCCTGCCCTGGAGATTGGGCTGTAACAATTGGGGAAGAGGGGATCCACCCCAAAGGACCCCCTGATCCTGAGGAAGAAGTGGGTGGCACCAGATTTTCTCTCAGTCACTCACCAAGCTCATTTGACCCCAGCAGTAGCCCTCCGGGGTTGGGGGTGGATAGTGGCTGCACCAGAGGGGGTAGGACCTCAGCCCCGCTCAGGACAGGCACTGCAGCATCCCCTGGGAAATGAAGGGCAGGAGTGAAGGGCGTCGACAGGCTGCACGGAGCAGGGGGCTATGGGACAGGACTAAGGGGCACCGGCTGGGTTAAGGGTAGTTAGGGGGCTATGGGTCAGGAGTGAGTGGCACCGGGAGGGCTGGGAGCAGGGGGGAGCAGAGGGCTGCAGGTCGGGACTGAGGGGCACTAGAAGGGCTGGGCAAGGGCATGGGCTGTTGATCTACTTTACTTACCTACTGCCTCCCCAGGGCCAAACAGTGAGAGATCTGGAGAAGAAATGTCTGGAACAGAGAGAGGTCAGAGGTTGGCAAGAGCCTGGACAGGAGGCCCAGATGCCTGGGTTCTATCCCAGCTCTGGGAGGGGCCTGGGGGCCCAGACACCTGGATTCCAGACGGACAAACAGTGTCTCTGGATGCTTCTGTGCCAGAGGCAGCTGGTGCTGAGCGGTGTGGGCATGCTGTGCCCCTCACCAAGAGCCCAGTCTTTGCCCCCATGGTCCCAGGGAATCACTCACCCTCCTCTGGGCTGCAGAGGGTCATCAAATGCACGTACTGCTCCAGGTCCGAGTCCTGGCAGTTGGGGCGTAATTGGGTGCATCTTAGAAAAGGTTACCCCCACAATTCAGATGAAGACCCCTTACCCTCTCCTCACTAGCCCCATCCTCCTCCTTTGCAGGCCCCACCCACCTCCTCAAGCCCCTTCCCCAGGTGTTTCCTCCACCCTTAACTTCTTGAATGTCCTCCCCCCCAACATAGGTCCTGCCCCTACCCCAGGCCACCCCACTTTCACCAGGCACCCACCGGGCTGCAGCCCTCCCCTAACAGCTGCTCTAGGGGTCCATCGAGAGTGTCAGCCCTCCCTGCCACCAGGGGGGCTTCATCTGCACCTGGGGAGGAGGGAGAACCAAGCTTAAGAGCCAGAACCACAGGCCAGTGCCTCTTACTCCCAACCCGCACCCCACTGCCCCCCTGCCCTACCCGGTGCCCCATTCTCCTGCCCCGCAGCCCCCTGCCAGTGTCCCTCACTCCCAAACCTCAGCCCCACTCACCAGCCTGCACCCCCACAGGCAGGATCTCATAGACCTTGTGGGGATCGGTGGCATCAGAGCTGTTGTCCTCAACCACCTTGAACTCAGGTTTCCGGTTCAGGGCCGAGCGGAAATTCCTCTTCCAGATGGAGGGCACAGGGGCAGTACCTGCATGATAGCACCCACTGACAGTGGCCCAGTCCTGGAAAGGAAAGATGTGGCAGGGACAGCATGGAGACTCCCAACCCACTGGTCCCTGCACCCAGCCCTGAGATCACCTCTAGCCCTGTCAGTGCCCCTCATGCAGCCCCCTACCTCCTCCGCTGCCCCCAGCCCTGCCCACAGGGAGGATGCCTGCTAGGAAAGAACCCAGATGTTGGGCTTCCCAGGCCCTCCATACCTAGGCAAGAGACTGGGAAGAAATGAGAGACTGTGTTGTGCCCCTCACTCCCACCTAGCAGTACCCTGCCTCCTCCAGCCCTGCCGATGCCCCTCTCTTCCAACCCGCAGCCCCCCGGCCCCCCCAGCTCTGCCAGTGCCACTCATTCCCAACCCCCCAACCCTGCTGGTGCCCCTCGCTCCCAACCTGCAGCCCCTGCCCACCCCAGCCCTGGTAATATCCCTCAGTCCTGACCCGCAGCTCCCTGCCACCCCAGCCCTGTCACTGTTCCTCATTCACAACCCCCCCCCTCCCTTGCTGGTGCCCCTCAATGCCAGCCCCCTATCACCCAAGGTCCTGTCACTGCCCCTCACTCCCAGACACAGCCCTGGCAGGGGTAGCCCATGCAGGGAGTCAGGCACCCTACCTGGAAGAGCTGGAAGTCCTCACGCGCGGCATCATGACGCAGTCCGTGCTTCCAGGGCACGCGGAACCGGGTGCGTTCAGCATTGAGCCAGCACACACCCGGGTAGCACCCACTGTCCAGCTGTTCCCGCAGCCAAGGCACCAGCAGCGGCCGCTGGGACCCCATGGCAGCAGCGCCTGGAGGAGTGGGGCACAGTGGTCAAGGGAACAAGGGCTGCTCCCCACCCCCTTTTCCCAACAGGAGGTGGCTAGGCCCATTCCTGGCAGGGCATCAAGCAGGGGCTTTCCCCCTCCAAGGAGTCCCGATCCCGCCCCAGTGCTGGTTGGGGGTGGAGCAGGGGAATTCCCCCTTGCGGGCCACCGGGCCTGATCCTGGCTGGGTGCAGGGCGGGGATCCCACGGGCCTTTTCCCTCCAGGGCCCCGATCCCACCCCAGGCAGCGCAGGGAGGTATCCCCTCCTCCCCGCATAAGAAGGTCCTTGCCCCAACCCCATGCCTACCCAGCCCCACCAGGAAGCAGTTCCAAATCCTCGCCGGTGACGTCACATCCCGGAGGGTCACATGACCTCAAACCTTGTTGAAGTGTTTCTGATTCCCCCTGGAGTGACCCTCCCAAGTTGGGGGTGGGGGTGCGGCCCCCTGCTTGGGGGACCCGTCTCGGGGTGGGGGGTTTCTGACTTGTGGTGGTGAGGGCCATGCCCCAAGAGGGGCGATCGGGGGCTGTTGGAGCTGTGGGGAGTAGGTCACCCCTATAACACGGGACTTAGCCTCACTGAACGGGGGGCAACCCCCCTGCGGAGTCCCCATAAAAATGGGGGTAGGAGCAGCCTCTGCCCCAGAGAAATAGAGAGAGAGAGAGAGGGAGAGATGCGCCTATGCAAATGAGCTGTAAGATCCCACCCAACCCTCATTTGCACAGAGCATTCCTCACCTCCCCCCCCCGGGCAGGGTGAGGGGCGGCGGGGGGGACTTGGGGGCATCGTGGGTGGGAGGGGGGCAGCTGGGTTAGGGACATTGCCCCCATGCACTGCCACCCCAGGCAAGGCTCCCAGCTCTGCCCCCCTAGGTGTCCCGGGACACCTGGGTTCAGTGGGTCCCCCCCAGGTGCTCCCGCACGGGGACACGGGCAGGCCCCTTGTGCTCCCGTGCTCAGGCCTGCCTGCTCCCCCCGCCACAGGCTGGGGC